TGAGGGTCAGTTTCCTTTTTTGTATCACATTTTCATTTTTAATGAAACAAAGACTCGTCTCAAATAGCCGTTTGAGAAAAGATTGAAACACTGACGAACACTGTAAATTATCCCGTAATGTAGTGAACCAAAAATTTTATCCAATTGAGAATGTTTATTACGAAGTGCTTTGAAAACGCAAAAAACAATCGAGCAGTCCGCATTCACTTCAAAAGTTATTTAATTAAATGATTTCAGGAATCCTATCGAGAGAGTTGATTTATTATCATTTCCGTAATACAATAGAGGATATGTGCAAAGGATATCGAGCTTACTGTAAAAAGCTCTACCAATATGTCTCAGAGAATTTGAACTGGATTAAAAAAACAGTTGCACAAAAGCCAAAAAGTGATCTCTATTGGAGACAGGTAAAACTTTTGTTACATATCCTCTGAAAAAGACTGTGACATGATAATGAATTGCTTGTTACTTTGCATGATTATGTAGAAGATATAGTGGTTTCATTGATGATACGGCTCAGATATATCCTCAGACTATTGAATAGTAGGCAATTTTAGCGTCAACTTAAGTTATCATCTGTATTCACGTATACGAAGTTTCTCCTTGTTTAGGCTGCTCACCTAAATTACTTATTGAGAATGATGTGTTGGAGTAATTGATGAGCATTGATTGTCTTTAATATGAATAAATTCGAAATCGCTCGTCTTGTGTATGCACGTAGAACGCGTGAACAGTATTGTACTGCTGAATGTTAATGTGCGATGAAATCTGCCTATGAATGTTTCCATAGTTGCTTTCGATATTCAGTTCGTTTACTGCTTTCAGGTGAATCTTTCGTTCGCCCAAGTCACAGGAATATGGCAAGGTTACTCAAAAAGACCTCCAATATGGTACAAACCACAGATAAATTTCGACATCACACCTATTCTGTAAGTGCTCGTTTTTATGATATGAAAGGCATTTTTTTGAGTTTCATTATCTGCATATGAATGTAAAAATTCGACTATAGTAAGCTTAATCATTATGCTTCTAAAGTAGGACATATGTGAATCAGTACATAGTTTCATTAAATCATAATTGCTTATGTGAAATTTGCGGGTTTGTCTATTGAGTAGTAAAATACAAAAGCACTCTCAGCGTACACTTCTAGATTGCATAATCTGACCTCATATGAGCAAGCCATTCATCTCAAGGAAGTTGTTTGCTAAAAGAAGCAATTGTCTCATGCTCTCAAGTTACCTTTAGGCTTGTATTTTGTTGACGAAGACGAAGTGTCGAGTAAATTTGTCTTTCAACAATACTTCAGAATGTAATCAAATCACAACATTTGTTTTTTCACTAACATATAGCGAATATTACGAATGAGAATGAAGAGTGTTTGGAAATGGAATGAAATGAAATTGAGAAGTGCTAATAAAAGAATGAGAAAACGACTAGTGAACATGTGAAAGGAATGAGAAAACGCATTGAAACGTCAAGCCAAGAATGAAAATTATGAGGAATGTAAGAAAAGAATGAGAAATGTGTTGAAGAGTTTCTGATACGAGGTTCAATCTATACAAGAGAAACTGTTTTCGATGCGGTATTCAACCGTTTTGATAAAATATTTGCAGCATGATTCAACTGTATGGAGATTTGTTCGATTTGTCGCATGTGTTCGACAAGAAACCCGATCCTGGCGATGTGGAAGATTCAGGGCATTGCTCTGGATTTGTGAAGATCTCAGAGGGCAACAAGGATATGTTCTTCTCTCATGTGGCTATGTCGGGCTACCATACAATGAATCGTGTACTGAAACTGTACAAATTCGGCTATAGTAAGCTTAATCATTATGCTTCTAAAGTAGGACATGTGTGAATCAGTACATAGTGCACGTTTAGTGAACAGATCGGCGGAAAATATGTGCTCATTTTCCCAAGTGCAGAAAATCGCTAGGGATCAATGATAGTGCTTTCAAGAATTTTGCTCTTCAGATGAAGAGGAAGTACCAGGACATACCATTTCATTCTCTGGTTATCCGGCTGCAATTACATCGGCTGATGACTTCACTTTGACAAGTGGTGGATTGGTAAGTGCGAAAATAATATCGTGATCCTAGAACGGGCGATGCCGTGATATTTGTTTGGACTCTTCCTGAATCCATGATAGATGAATTGAAGCAGTTACAGAACAATAAAATTCGGATAAACTATCGAGTATGTGCTATGTTTAATAAGTGGAAATTGAAACTGACTCCTAATTGAAGGATGTATCGAATTTTATCTTCATTAAATGATTCAGGATGAATCGGAATTTAATGACTAATGTTGTAGGCAACATTAGAGACAACGTTCGCCATCTACAACAAAACACTCTATAAAGATTTCGTTAAACCAGTTGGACAACTACATTGTTGGGTTCGTACATCAATCGCGAATACCTTGGCCAAGTCAGAGAGCGTTTTGTTAAACATTTTTAATATGAAAGGGATTCCATCAATATAGAATTGAAGCCGGATCATTTACAAGATCATCTTTCGTTCCTAACAATAAGATTCTAGATTAAACGAAATCGTCCACGCTCCTAAAGTATTTTGATACAAAATTATTCACTTTATAAAAATTTCGATTTGGTTTTTGAAGTGAACGGTTGATTTGTTGAAGAGATGCAAGAACATGGACAAAATTATTTGGACGTTACAATTCTGGCACATACAATAATCAGTGGTTAGCACTTGACTATAAAAAGTTCCAGCCAGGTGAAGACTTGCCATCAAATGATTTGTTATGGGTTCTTGAACAAGTTCCGTAAGTTTTCTCTTTAATTCTGAATCGTCCATCGTTCACCTTATTTGTTTTAAACAATTTCTTGTTGTTTGCAGAAAATTTCTGTTTGGACTATAGCAATTGCACAGTTTTGAAATCAAACTTTTTAAGTGTTCATTGTATTTCAGTGGATATGTGCTTGCCAAAGATGTGACCTGGTTCCTCCGTAAATACAGCTACTTTCCCAGCTATAATATTCCATTCTTCCTCGAAATAAGCAGGATGAGTGGCTGGGATGAGAAATCAAAAACGAACGATTGGTACAAATGGGGCAGTTGTCCTCGTGCAAAAATATTCGATCGCGACCATGTGAAGGTTGTGGATATTGAACAATTGCAAAAACTTATGAGGTAATCACTTCAAATATTCAGTTTTGATCGGAGAGATCAGTTTGGTTTGTGGAAACTTCAGTGTCGGCTGGAGGAGTGCATATCTAGCCAGATGACCGCCTGTTTACGTTAGAAATTATAGTGTTAAAGTATAGTAGTCCTCGATTTCCATGTTTGATCAAATATCTGTGATGTTTTATCACAATGATATTGTTTAGTTCTGTGAGGTAATTTGTTCTAGTTCATTTGTAATTCTTGGACCCAGTTTTCCAAATTAACCACGGTCCGAGATTTATGAATGGATTAAACAAATAGATCCACATATATTCATATCATCCATTCCTACATGGTATTATCTTCAGATATAATGACTATCAGCATGAGCCGTTCAGTCGCTGCAAGTGTGTTCCACCGTATACGGCCGAAGCGAGTATTTCAACACGTGGCGATTTGAATCCAGCGAATGGCACTTATGAATTAGAGGGTATGGGTCATAAAAATCATGGAGGACTAGACTTCAAGGTTATCATTTGCTGTCCTTCAGTGGGAGTCCTAGATGATGGTCGTAACTTTAAGCGATGAACTGAGCATCTATTTTTGTGACATAAATCAAAAATATTTCCTTAATCCTAATATAAATTTACACAGTTCCTGAAAATTATTCATTGAATTGCGCTTTTGGCAGCAATGTTTGAAGCGTTCAAATGATTATAAAATGAGTAATGATCTTGCTATGATCAGGTACTTTCAAACACACTGGTCAGATTCTTTCTATCTTTAAGAAGCACTGAATTTAACAAAAAGGAACCACGATATATGTCATGTTAACGATGAAATCGCATTATGAATGCTAATGACATAATTTACAAACACTATTTCAGGGCACCAACTATACTATGTTCAAGAAGCTGCGATTTAGAGCTTGGGGTGGCCCGACTTTCGATCCGCTTCCAGTTTTCAGGTAATAATTGGTTTTGTTAACCGTATATGAACTATTTATGTTATGGATTATGGATTCCACACTTTCGAGTTGATGAATAATGAATCCTAAGGCATTCCACAAGCAGTTGAATGTTGATTGATTACGATATTATGCTTGATCATCGGGGATAAATACCGAAATGGTTAATTTACGCTGAACAGTGTGATCCATTGCAATGAAGAAAAGAAATGTATAAATAAAACAGTGATTATAAGTGTTAAACTATCGCACAGTATCGAATTGTTTATTTTACAGTTGGGATACAACCGATATTGTGGCAAACCATTATGGACAACCGATAGTATGGAGATTCGATCCTGTTGAAACTGACTGGGAAACAAACGTGACAGTGCATCTTTAATGTGAATGAATCAATAACACATCAATCGTTTATCAGAATATTCCAAATGCTATCATTATTATCAATAGTTTCATTGTATAGATTGGAGTTATTAATGTCATTATCGCACTAAGATGACAGATAGAAGGTAATCAGTTAGTCAAAATGAACAAAACTTATCAATTAAAATTTTTAATAAATAGCACGAGTAGTTTTGTAGAAAATAACAATCACTGTTTGGAAATGAAATATCGGACACTGGGCAACACTTTATCACAATCGACTAGATTCTTTTGAGATTACAACACATCTTCAACGGTTTTCCACGAAACAATTAAACATATTTCTCGACTTCGATATCGATAATAACTGCCTCAGTATCGGTATTACTTTCGGAGAGTGAACATCGAGCAGACCCTGGAAAAATGTTTCGTTTTGAATGCTTATGATGGATTTATTGGTTATTGTTGTGAATTGTTATTATTCAACATTTTGATTCATATGGTTGTTTGGATAATTAGTCGTAAATAAAACAGTTTTCCTAAATTTTAAAAAGTAATTCCCATTAGAAGTTAATGATCAAATGATCAAAAAAGCACGATTTGTCAAATTTGTGTGGATGGCGTAGAAAGAGCAGAAATTGTGTTTGATTTGCATAAAATCTCATAGTTTGATTTGATTTTGCTGATTGAAAAAGTTAAACTTATGTTTAAAAAATCATTATTTTTTGAAAAGTCTATAGGGAATATCGGAATTTCAAAAAGATGATCGATCGCACCTTCGCCTTCAGACCAGCATTTTCTTGCGACTGAACATTTCCTTCTCCGTCGCCTTCTCTTAACTTCCCTTTCTTTCAATGCGAACGATTTCATCAACTCGTTCAGATGGGCATCTTCGAAATGCATCGAGTCTGTATCGTCTAGTCCATACAGGTGATCTGAATATAAGGTATTGTGATCACCGGATGATTCACTAAAGCGAACAGTAAAAGAGACTTTAAGGAGTTCTTTCAGGTACTTCCTCATGCATTCATACAGATTTTGTGGATGTTTTTGTGAAAAAATTTACATATTTCTTCGCTTAACTTTCCCAAATCATTCGGTCTTCCACAACAATTCGACTAATTTTTCTCACAGAATGAAGCGTTCGTCAAGGTCAAGTCACAATATCAAATTATCCAGACGATTGTGGCAATATATAATTTGGAAACTCACCATCAAAAACACGCTTGCAAAGTGCAATCAACCCCTTAATCTCACCGTTGCAATCGCTTGCTCGGTCATTTGATTGCACGGTCGTAAGAAAACAAGAAGTGGAACCCTCAATGGAAGTCAACTGTTCCAATTCATTTTCCAATTCATTCATAAACGCATAAATTTGCTGAGTATTGTTTGACTGCATTAGATCTATGATACGTGAGTATCGTTGAGGTGGTAATCCTGAAAGCTTTCGTAGTGATGACTTCGAAAGTATGTCTGTTGTGGCTAATAATTACATTCTGAGACGAATATCAAGTTCATTCAGACGTTTACGTGACGAAAAAGTTATTCATTGTGTCGTTAGGTCTATGAGGTGATCAATTTGAGAAGCAATTCAAAATACTACGCAAACGCAAAACATTTTTGAAGTGGCCATTTCATTTGCTTTAGGAATTGAGTTCGATTGCGGTGGATAGAATGTGGACAAAATGAAATGAGAACTTGAAACTACTACAAGAGAAGCGTACGTTTCAATTCTTCGACAAGTTCAACATATTGAGGATATTCAACATTTATCAAATCATTGCCATCCAAATTTTCAGTTGATATTACGGCTTTTCTCCATGACTGCAGAGCATTTGAATGGCAAATGGCATTACGATTACCGTACAATCGTAGTGGACTACCTCTTAGATTTCCCAAGCAATTTTCCAAGGAATCACCGTTTATAAGCTGAAAATGTTTTATTTTATTGAAAAAATAATCTATTAAGAATCGAGATGTTTCAGTAAGAGAGTTTTACAACTGCAAAAGATTATAACTAGCGAATTCTGATAATATACCCACTTTTTGCAGAACAATTTTAAGGTGTTCGTTGAATTCACTGTTGATGTTTACAACACATTCAGCACCTGCTATCAACAAAGCTTTCGTTACTTTTTCACATGGATCATTGAGCACAATGGCAATATTGATGCTCAATTGATATTGCAGAATCGAGAATGAGTCCATTTTTAGTCGTGAACAGTCAAGAAGAGCCAGTGAGCATACCTGTAAAGTTGGATAAATTAGGGAGGTTTTTACATGATGCAATTTTATGAATGTCAATATGAGCTGATGAAACGAATTCAATAAGGCAGTACATATAAATTTGTTTTAAATTTGATTTAAATTTAATTAATGAATAATCTACGCAAAATCAGAGTTTATTCACGAAAACTGCTGTTATTCATACGGCATTAGAGACGAATCTGAAGCGTTAGGAACCGAATAAGAGTCAGAGTACCTGCAGCTTCCAGATGAGATCATCTTCATTCAAGCAGTGAACATGATCGATTTGAAGAGAATTTCGATCGTCAGTGGCAATCAGAAGGCAAATTTTCCGATCAGTTCTTGTTGTAGAGCATTTTGCAACACTGTGTAAAGCGATTCTGTTCTCATATTGCACACCACCAAACGAATCGACATTTATGAGGACGTTCGCTTCTGATTTGAGTTTCTCGAATTCACTCAACTCATAACACTTTAATTTACTGCTCAATAGAAACTGTTCCAAAAAATGCGCATAAAATTTCGAAAGATGATTCGTTGGATTGGCTTCGGTGATGAAAAAAACTCGTAGCTGGTCACCTGAAAGAAAAACTATTAACTACAAACTTCCAGATATAAATCGATCAAGTTCGTATTGTGCAATACGTTTCCGCAAGAAATTATGTGAGATTTGTCAGTTCCAAATTATTAATGTCTGGATGAGTGAATGGTTAACAGAGTCTGAATATTCTCACAATCAGTGGCTTATTTCATGAAAATCTCGAGTTGTTAAATGTTTGAAATAGCTAACGAAAATAGCCAAAATGATGATAGCGATAAGAGTCTTATCAATGATCTCATATCATTCACCTTGTTGTTTATACCAGCATAATACGAATCGCTCAACTCGAAAGCAATAAAGAGATGTTTGCTGAATTCTACGCAAACACTGTCTTGTTGATTCTGCGCTGACATTTGTTTGAGTACCCATTAATGGATTTGAGCGTTTCAACTGATCGCATACAAAACGTTCAGCTATTGCTAACGCTTCAACAACAGAATCTTCATTGTTCGGATTGATTATGCACACTATCAAAATCAGATTCACAAGTTTTAACAGTTCATTTGCATTGTTGTGCATTGCAAGTATGCTGATCTCATTGGTATCAATGTTTGCTTCATTATCAATGTTAGGGCCATTTGTAGCACCGTTATAACTGGTATCAATTTGCTGTTGTTCGCTATCATCGATGTATTGAAATCTGCGTAAATACTCGTCGAGAAGAGTGACACATTCCTGTAAAGTAAACGTTTCCGATGAGATAGTTTGCAATTTTTGAAATGTAAAATTTTTGCTTAGGGTCAGCTCGCTGTTTATTTATTATCTATTCGGAGGTAATTGCTGCTGTTGATACCGAATTCGAGGAACGAGTAATGTCAAAGAGTTTCTTAAACTTAAGCTTTTCGTTTTGCAAGAATTGAGTGGAAACAAAATTCATAAATTCCAGAAGTTTTCAGCATAAAACAACCTGAATTTCGTTTCGATTCCAAAGAACGATCGCTTCATCGATAATTGATGCAATATTACGGTCGCTTCTGTTTTTGTACATTTCATCAATAATATTTTTTGCACGATCAAAATCGCCATGCATCATTTTGGCGTGTAACAATGGTACACCAACAAATTTTCCACATTCCAGCACCTCATATAAACATGTTTCATCTAGTGCCATTGCTACGCGCTCATCACAGCCTGTAACTGGTAAATTGATATTGAACAAGTAATTCTTTGAATAATCAAAAAAAAAACGTCAAAATCCCACAAACAGAGTAATTTATTTAAGTCACACGAGCCCTATCCTATCTTATAGACTGATGTGTTTTCCTTAAAGAAATATCCAGAAACACTGATCAAATTGAATCTCAACATAATCTATGCAAACATTCATTCGCTTCTGCATCTCACATTAATTCAAATATCCTTGGTTGCTTAAGAAACTGAAGGGAAAACTCACACTCATCAGCGATCACTTGCATGGTTTCCAGCGAATCAATTGATTCTCCGCAAAACCATTCTAGAAGTGCTTTGTCAAGTCGATCGTTCCTAGTTAATTGCTCATTTCCTTCATCTTCATTATCAATGAAACTGATTTTGAGTTGTAATGATTTGTGAAGATGTTCCAATGATTTTGCGGGATTTTTCATATAGAAATGGCAACAACAAATTGCATATTCACACTGAGATTTCAGATCCTGAAAGGACATTACTGAGCAGTCTGTTGAAGATCAACTATAGATCAACTGTTGTAGGTACTGTTGTTGTAAAAGCAAATGTTTTCAAAAGATGCTATAAAAAGGTAATGACAATAAATTTTGATAAAAACATTGATGATATGAACAGTAATCATAATCGCTGTAGGATACACTGAAGTGTAACTCTGCTTAAACAAGGGAAATTACATGCTGACGGGCATGGCATTAGTGCTCACCTTATTGTCGGTTGCTTCATGAGCTTTTTCGAAATATTCCAACGCTCTTTGAACATCATTTTCACGA